TCTATCTATCTATCTATCTATCTATCTATCTATCTATCTATCTATCTATCTATCTATCTAGTTATCTATATACCTGTCTATCATTTTGAATTTAAAATCTGTACATAGAAAAAATACCTGAGCCAGGCATGGTGGCACACACCTGTAATCCCAGCACTCAGGGAGGCAGAGGCAGGCAGATCTCTGTGAATTCAAGGCCAGCTGGTCTACAGAGTGAGTCCAGGGTAACCAAAGCTACACAGAGAAACCCTGCCTCGAAAAGCAAAAACAACAACAACAACAAAAACAAAGAAAGAAAATACACACAAGTGATATTTGTGTTTCTGAGTCTGGCTTATTTTATTTAACATGATAATCTTCAGTTCCTTCCATTTCTGCAAATGACATAACTTTATTCTTCACTGTGGCCAAAGAAAACTCCATTGTGCACACATACCACCGCTCTGCTGTTGGATATCCAGGCTGGTTTCACATGGTGCTAACTGTGTATAGAACTGCAGTAAGCATGGACGTACACCTCTCACTGTGGTGCACTGCATGTCAGCTGTTTTAAACTAGAGGATTATGACCAGATTCAGAGCATTAGAAATTGGAGTATTATAACTCAAACCTTGCTGCAATTAACACAGCAAGAAATGTATCTATAGAATCCGCTTTATGACATACAGTCTGTAGGTACATGGAACACTAGTGAGGAGGGTCAGAAGGAATTGGGAAGCCTTGATTCAAAAGCTCATGGTCTTACCAAATGCTCAAGCATGGCTTTTAAAAATCCATTTCTCGGGGGCTGGAGAGATGGCTCAGTGGCTAAGAGCGCTGTCTGTTCTTCCTAAAGGACCAGGGTTCAATTCTCAGCACCCACATGGCAGCTCACATCTGTCTGTAATGCCCATTCCAAGAGATCTGACACCTTCACACTAATGCACATAAAATAAAGTTAATTAAATTATATTAAAAAAATCCATTTCTCTGTATGCATTAACTTTGAAAATATTCATTTCATTGTTATTTATGTGTATGTGTCTGTGGGTAAGTATTCATGTGTGTGTGTGTGTGTGTGTGTGTGTGTGTGTGTGTGTGTGTGTACTTGCATGCAGAGACCAGAGGAGGGCATCAGATCCCCTGGAGCTGGAGTAAAGGAGATGGTGAACTACCTGGCTGGGACCTAAGTTCATAGCCTCCATAAAGGCAGCTAAGTCTCCTAACTGCTGAGCCATCTCCCCAGCCCTGATGCAAACCCTGTCTGTATTCCATGTTCCTTGTCATTGTTAATGAGGTCAGTAATTTAGGCTGTTGCTCGAGCCTGTGTATGTTGAGCCTGCCTCACTAAATAGGGATTTATTTACATGCAGCCTACATCTTACTCACTTGAGTATACGATTAACTTTCATGAAATTTAGCTAGCCAAACATTTGGGGAAAGAACACATGACTACTTTCTTTGAATGCCTTCTACAGAATAGAAAAAAAAACCATTTCACAAGATTTAAAAGGTCCCCACTGTCCCATAACTGAATTAAAATGATTTGAAATTATACAGTAGCATTAGAAATTAATATTTAATTTAAAGTAACTGGCTTTAGAGTGCATTTCCTACATTTCCATAGGCTATTGAAAAATCACTTTTATTCTAATACTTTAGCATCATGAAATACTCATTTTCCACTTTTCCTATTAAAAGTCACCACCAACTTAATGGTTCCAAATCAGTGGTAGCACATGCATGTGTATGTATGGTGTGGACAAACGCGTGCATGCAAAGGCTGGGAGACGATCTTGAGTGTCCTGCTCTAACACGCCCTGTCTTATTCTACCGAGACAGGGTCTCTCGCTGAGCCTAGATCGAAGCTGTCAGATAGTAAACCCCAAAGAGCCTCCTGTCTATGCCCCCTCAATGCTGGGGCTCCAGGCACGTGTGTTCCAAGCCCATTAGTTTTATGTTTGGTTGGTTGGTTTGAACAGATGTTATGGATTCACACTCGAGCCTTCTTGCTTGTGCACAATCACTCTTAACCACTGAGCCAGCTCCCCAGCTCCCAACAGTGGTAATGTTATCTCAAAGTTAGCAGGTCAGAAGTCTAAAGTGGGCCTCGCTAGGTTAAAAATCACAGTGTAGTCCTCTCTGTGGGCTGGAGCAGATAAGGGACTTCTTTCCACACTCACATGTTGACAACATTGAGTTTTATGTGGTTGAAGGAATGAGGTTCCTCCTGTCAGCCCCTTTTATTTCTTGACTATATCTTGAAAGCCACTAGTGGCCTTTAGAAGACAGAGCACCCTTGGCTAAGGCCATCCTGCTGTGTCTTAAAAGCTAGAGATGATGGGCTGAATCCTTGTTGCTTCTGGCTATATGAGAAGAGGAATTCTTGCCTTTGAAGACTCATGCGGCTCAGCTGGGCAGGATTTAGTGATACAGATCATCTGGATGGGAACGATCTCCCATCTCAAGGCACATGACCTTAGTCATATTTCAAGTTTAGGGCATGGATGTCTTTGAGGGTCCTTCTGCCTACGTCAAAAAGTATGTGGGATTAGGTAAAGGAAGAATGATGGGCTACAGCTCTGCTCGTGTGTAGGATTTTCAGCAAGCCTTACTCCTAAAACTGGTTTCTTTATAGATAGTGAAATGGCCTGCTTACTGGTATGTGGTAAATAGCCAAGGCAAACTGAAGAAATGGTACAAAGTACAGCCTGTTAGTAAAGGTTTCTGTTGTCCAAAGTTCTACTGGCCTCTCCTAATTAGGGCTTTCCACCAGCCAGAGAGGACCTCCTGGCTTCCTGACCCCATGATCGGGTATTTGAAAGTTACAAATGGCCCAGGATTATTGAATTGAACTGCATCAAATCCACAAGTAGGTATGTAGCCTGACTAGAGACTCTGCCCCAAATCTTAGTGAAGCCTATACCATGCAGTGCATACCATTAGTCAGAGGCCTGCTAGAAGAGTAAAGCTAGCCTTTTAATTAATTAATTAATCAATTAATTACTTTTGGTATGTGTGTATTTATGCTGTGAGTGTGGGTATGTGCACGCATGCAGGGACCAGAAGAAGATGTCGAATGTCCAACTTTATCATTCTTTGCCATATTCTTTTGATACAGGGTTTCTTACTAGGCCTGGAGCTAGTTTGGTGGCCAGCAAACCTCAGGTATCCTCCTCCAGTCCACTCAGTATTTGGGTTACAGGCACACACACACATATAACCATGCCTGGTTTTTAAATGTCATTACTGGAATTCTAACTCAGGTCCTCTTTCTTTCTTTCTTTCTTTCCTTTCTTTCTTTCTTTCTTTCTTTCTTTCTTTCTTTCTTTCTTTCTT